ATAACTTGTTTCCATTAAACCAACTACAAAGGGTTGGATCCAGCCTTATTATCATTAATAGAATCTCCTCTACTGAAAAGGGGAGATGTTTGCTGGATTTCAGAATGAAACGTTACAGATAATACTGGAAACATTTTGACTGGAATATTAGGAATTGCAGACTGCACTGTGTCTGAAAGCCTCCACGTATGCAGGAGCATTCTTTCAAGGAGCACTTTGGATGGTAGCAGGAAGGAGCCATCAAAACGTTTTAATGGGAATCTGTAACATTTGAGTAGCCTTCAGGGTCATTTATTTATATAAATAAAAACCTTGTTACAGGGATGACAAGACAATAGAAAAATCTACAAAACCACAACACACATAAGAAAGTAACTTTCTTGCCTCGGGAGGTTTTGACTGTTCTGTGCTGCTTCCTTCTCAGACTCTCCGTGGACATCCCTTTGGGGACAGAGATTATGTGAATAATTTGTTCAACTGGGTTTCAAAAATTGCTTGAGGGTGATCTGTGGATACTGATATTTGTGATGGGGAAGGGAACATATAATATGTTGGTAAAAACTTTTTAAAAGGCAGCGTTCAGTTTCTATGGCCATTGGTTTTTACTGAAATTCTTATTTTACCATATATATGTTCCGAAAGATTTGCATCTCTTCTGTCACAGACATATAGTACATAATACCTTTTTGCTGAGAAGGTCACCAACATTGATAATTGAGATTAGGTTTTATTTATATGGGTCCGGTACAGCAATCACCTACTATTTAACAACAAATTGTTTCTAAACAAAACATGTCTAAGCACTGCCAGCTTCATAATCTCATCTTGAACAATAGCTGTTCCTTTTCTTGTATTATTCTGACCTAATAATACACTATTTTCAGACTTACAGTCAATCATACAAAGACAGTTTTCAATGGTCTAACCCACTGGAAGCCATTCTAGCAACAGGAGTTACATAAGATTAACTCTTCCTAATTGGAACTGTTATATAATGAAATCTGGACTGGTACTCTTATGCCTAAGAAAGTAAGCTAGAAAAGGGGGGGGGGGACTCAACCCAACCAAATGGAATCAAGAACCTCAAATGTAAGTTAGAAAACAAGTAAGGGGCCAATAGTTCAAACTGCAATATAGAATAATTATTATACGTAGAAATATGTGTATTTATTGCAAAGACTTAAAAAAAAAGCATACAAGGGCCCAAATCAAGCCTCATAACATAGCCTTGTGTCATTTACAGATGTATACAAGCTGAGTAATGCTGCATGTGTATGCCGTCCAAGTTTGGTCTAGAAAGTATGGGTGAAACCACCTGATCAGAGCCAATGTTCCCTCATTATAGAGCAGTGTTAAAAGACACCATATAAGCTTATTACACCTGTCTTTTAGCACTGCTCTATATTGCGTTTCAAGGAGGCCTCAAAAATAATATTTTTCCTGTGTCATTTGATTCCATATTGGAAAATGCCTTTTTTGGTCCTATATCAACTTGTTAACTGCCTTTTGATTGTAACAGGAGCCTATATGTACCTTTTAATGTTTGACCTCTGAGTAAGGCCCGTCTGAGCCAAAACATTAGGTCATAAATGTTTCCTCTAGTGCATATGTCACTTTTATCATGTGATGAGGCTTGACTTGAGCCTTTGTATGTTTTGAGCCTTTGTATTTTTTAAAAAAGTATTTGCAATAAATACATACATTTTTACTTATAATTATTCTATATTGAAATTTTAACCACTGGCTCCTTACTTGTTTTCTAACTTACCTTCGAGGTTCTTGAGGCAACAGATTGTAGACAGAATGGTCAGCTAACACCATTCATACATTTAAAAAGGAATATGGTGGCTGAAAGAGAGCACAAAAGAGAAGAAATGGGTTGCCAAATCCTGTAAGTCTCCATGTAGTATCTATACAGCAACAATGTCCAGTGATTTCCTTGTGCCCATTTGCTTCTTGGGAAGTTCTGGGTCACTCTGGGACTTCTGACTATAAAGTATCTTACACAAAACACGAACTTTCTCATGTCTCTGTGCTTGGAACCATCTCCCCGCTGCCATGTAGCCAGCCTTCCTAATTTTGGATTTTGTCCATCTTCTCAGGGCAGGAGGTGCTGCAGAAAAGCCTAGGAATCAGCATCTTTGTATTTATACAGAACAAGCACTTAGAAGTAGTTGTTTTCATCATCACTTGTACTGGGAACCTTCCAGCAATTTGTGACTGCTTCACTCCCCGTGACGGCCATTATGAATTCCAAAAAGTATTAACATTCCGAAAGTGCTAATGAATAAACAAGGTTGAGGTCCCCTGCTGAAGGGTACCTTTAGCTTACGTATTTGAAGCTAATCCTAGAACAAGAATTACACAGTCATGTATTTCTGAAATTATACAGTTGGACCTCTAGAGAGAAAGAATTGTAGCCATTCAAAGTGTGAGAGGAAGGAATCCTTAGGAGAAGAAATTTTTACATGGGAATATGCATTATAAAAGGTGAAGGGATGCATTTCTACAGCAGAAAGCCACTCCGACTAGCATTTAGCAAACTGGGTTGTCTTCCAGCTACTGGTAACACTGGCACATATTATGTTACAAAGAAGGAAGAAGCAGGATAAATTGCAGAAGTGGAACAGCAGAGGAAGCCACAATCTTGAACTTACTGTGATTGGGTTTCATGTCTAGTAGGAAAAGAAAAGGATGCATTTCTGGAATGCAAAGCAAATCAGTTTACTGCTGTGAAGAGTTGCAACGCCTTTTAATTAATTTTTTTTTTTTTGCTGGACTCCTTACTCCCCCCCTTTTGTAAAGTGTTAGGATGTGGTGATGTCTCTCTGCAGAGTCCATTTTGACCAACTCAAGTCCAAAGATTCATACAAATTCTCCAGTTGCCTGTTGCTGGGAATGAAATATCTATAGCAGAGCAGCTTAGAAGTATCAGGAAGTTCAAAGAGGAAAATACCAAGAAGATATAATTGGTGCTAGGGTTGTCCCATGATTTACTTATGAAAAGTACTTATTTCTGACCTAGTACATCTCCCTATCTGAAATTTTCCCACTGACTCTTCATCAGAGCCTGTGACAGAGCCTATTAAAAATACCCATGTTCCTTAAAAGTGGACCTAGAAAACGCACATACTGTGGCTGAAAGAATCTGATTATAGCAAGAAATAAAACACAGGAACAACTAGTCTCAATGCCTGAAAACCACATCTAGCACTGATTTCAGTAACTAATACCTGAAACTGTGATAAATAAGGGTTCTTGTCCCCCTAGAGTACAAATGTACATTGTAATAGAGTTGGGCTGAAACATCTGGAGGGGACCAAACAGGCACACAAAAGAAAAACAAATTTGTGAATTGTTCAACCAAATGAGTATTGTCAGATTAAAATCAGAAAACAAGATCTGAGACTGCCTTTGTCTCTTACACTGTGCTTTTCACTAGCAGATCCATTGGTTATCCACTTAGCTATAAGCAATTCCCTGAGATGAACCAGGATTGGGGGGGAGAGAGAGATTATAAAAGAAGATGGAGAAAGGACATTAACAGTAGGTAGATTAAAAAGCTGGAAGAAGCAGCTTTGGCTCACTTGCTGCTTTCTTCTTGCTCACTGAAGAAGAACAAGACTCTAAGGCTATATAGCGGTGGAAGCCCTAACAAATCAAGTTTGCTACACCTGGTTCTCCATTACTGAATAGCCAGAGGAGCCAACTTTTGAGAAGTCAGAATAAAAAGTCCTAACATCTTTCTGCAGACCACCTTTATCTGGGGAGTTCCCAAAGCAAAGATAATTAGCACTGGATTAAGAGAGGAGAAATTCCAATGGCTTTTTGTTTCCCCTTCTCTCTTATTCAGTCTCTTAAAAGCAAAGACACTGGAAACCTGAGAAAGCCCTATGTTTGGCATACACCTGGCATTCTTACAATAAATGAAAAGCAAAATCTACCATTATTTAAAAGAAAGTTTTACAAATTGCCTATTGCTTACAGTAGGTGAGAGCACTTCTTAATACAATCAAACCCATATTGGAGGACTCAGATTACAAACAGGTAGATATAACATATTCTACTAACATTTTCTGAAAGCTTATCATTAACCAGAAACGACACAAGTTCTCACTCTTTGCTGGGGGGAAAACAACTGTAATGAAGTTATAGTAACTGATAATACTACACTGCTATCTAAATATAGCACCAGTTTAATATAGCACTGTTTTTAGAGAAAAAGTGAACAACCAAACAACTGCATCCTGTTTGCTGACTCCCTATTAGTTGTCATAAGAGAGTGATATGCTAGCTTTAAAGCTGATACTTCTAATGAGCTCCTGTATATTCAGGCTCAATTTAGGACACTGGGGAATCTGAGGATAACCCACTCACATGATGATTAATTACAGCCCATGGAGACTCTCTTCACATTGACAACTATTAATCTCAGGAAATATTTATCACTGTATGAAGGAAGTTTCAAATAATAATAATACAGTATTTCAAGTATTCTTCACTTTCAACAATATGACAGAAAATTGTTGATATCTACAGGTGTGCCATATTTAAGGAAACAGTGCTTCTTGAAAATACAATATTTGCTTTATAAAACTAGTTCCTAGAATGCTGCCATACTCTAGTATGATCAAGAAACAGAACCCTGGCAGAGGCTATGCAGATAAGAGGATGGGCCTGCACCAGGGAGGTTGGCTGGATACCTAACAGGTGTTCAAGAGATGGGAAAATAAATGGGCTGCCATTTAGATAACAGGTAAACAGGAACATGGACTTCTCATTCCAGAAACTGGGTTCACTAGGGATGGGGTTTAGTGCATACCCCATTGTCCAAATGTTCTTGAATATACCTATTTTTTTCCTGAGAGCTCCATGTGAACACTGATAAACACATGGGACTTAGGACTGGATGGACATAGTTCATTGTTACCTAGATTTTCAGAATGCTATATAAACTGGATGAGTATAAAATGTTAACAATTTTATCAGGGAAGTCTTACTTTGATTTCTTCATGTATAGCCAGTAAGCAACACCAGCAACCAGAGCTGTTAGAAGAAGACCAACCACGACTCCCACTATTAGTTTTGCCTGGTCATTAACATTTTCCCTATTATCATCTAAAACAAAAGAAGAAGAAAACAATGGAGTGACTTGACCAAACAAAGTATGGGAAACTGTTTACGGATCATACATACCCCAAACAGTTTTTAAATTACATTTTTAAAAAATTAAATTACAAAGTTGATCAAGAAGAGCAACGGAGTGACTTGACCAAACAAAGTATGGAAAACTGTTTACAGATCATACCCCAAACAGTTTTCAAATTACATTTTTAAAAATTTAAATTACAAAGTTGATCAAGAAGAGCAATTGTGAAAGCATGCACCTCTAATGGTATTGACAATGATTAAATTGGCTGCTGTGAGCACTCCACAGTTTGTGGGCTAACCTGCTCGGGTCAGGTGACGAGCTTTCCCAAGGAAGGCGCTGTTAGTGCTGTTGGGTGGCTCAGAGCAGGCTCCTGCAGCAGGAGGCTTGAACCCCCTTTATTTCCCTCACTCTCTCCCTGTTATAAGGCTCACAGCCTGTATGGCAGCAAGATGTCCAAGAATACTCTGCCTCGTGTCAGGGAGAGAACAAGAAGACAGTGAGGGAATTAAACGGTGCTCAGGCCTCCTACTGCAGGAGTCTGCTCCAAGCTACCCAGTGGTGTTGAGAAGTCCCTCTTTGCGAGAAGCCTTTGTGCCCTTTACTTCCCTCCCCAGCACAAGGCATAGCAGCTCAAGGGAGAGAGAGAGAGAGAGAGAGACTGCCAAGGCACCCAGAGCAGAGCAACATGATCATGGAGAACAGGAAGGAATCCTGCTATGGCCAGCTTGCTCATTTCCTGAGTCACTACTATGGTGATGGTGGAGGTTTTACCCTCTCTTCCCTGCAGCCAGCTTGTTGTCCTCCTGGCAGCTGCACAGGTACTAGAATGAGAGCACAGAGGCTACACAAAAGAGCAGAAAATTGTTGTAGAGGATGGGTTCTTTATTTCCATCCCCAGAGTAAGAACTGCTGCATACATGTCCTCCAGTCCCTACAGCAGCAGCAGTTTCAAGGTTGGAAGTGACTTCCAGCTACAAGTCCCACCAGGCAATGTCCTTGCCCACTTTTCAGAAACATAGGGCAGGTACTACACTGCGGAACAGTGCCCAGAAGTGCCATATTGAAGAACTATAGGTGGCTTGCAAGCCACTGAGTTCGTATCACTGCCTTAAACCATTTGTTCCACAGCTGTAATAGAGTTACACGTTTCAGTTGGATGGCAAGAATGCCCATATGTCATTCTATCCCTGTCTACAAATAAGAATAACGATACAAGGGACCATCCCCTGAGTTTCAGTAGCAGAGTTTTATATTTAACAGTCAATATTAAGCCACTCACTTCTGATTTGCCAACACTGTTTGCAATTTAGATGTTTTCACCTAGATGTATACTAAATGCTCCTGTCACTCGGTGAATCTTGCTGTTCAGAAATATGTTACTGGTTCTCTTTTCAAATTGCTGTATCTCAATTATTTGTCCTGCTTTGGACCTTACTAGTCGTGTAACCTCTGATATTTCTTTAATTTTTTATGGCTATGGTCTCTAATTGCTGTAACATTGCTTCTATGTTTGAAAACCTCTGTTCCTTACTCCAAACCTAGGTGACAGCATAAAACTCATATGCTACCGGGGTAAATGACCTGACGTATTCACTCATTTAGTTCTAGTACAATTACTAGATAATCTTGAGGGAGAACCTGACATTCTTTCATAAATGTGACTTCATCTTTGATTACCAGTTCCATAAATTGCAAGAGTAGTTTGTTTTTCAAATATGTAGTAGGTCAGCCTATCCTGAGGATCAGTTTTATTTCTTTATTTTTCTAATACTACTGTAAGGCAGAGGTAAGTGAGAAAAATGCATAAAACATTTTTGATTGAACAGTGCAGTGTCTTCTATTTTTTATGGTACTTACTATTTCTTTCATCTGGTTCATCAGATTCTGGAATATTTACTGAAAAAGAAAAAAAAAACCCAGAACCATAGATATATGAAAGTCACCTTCAAAAGTTTCAATCTCCTGTGATATTTAACAATAAAAAGATCTATTTTTCAGCTGGGACAGAAGTGTTCATACTTAATGCAGCATCAGCCACACAACAAAATGATTAATCTTATTTCTTTAGGCAGCAATCCTTACTTTATATCTATAATGTATCATATGAAAGAGCTTTATTCCAAAAATGACAAGTTTAATCTTATAAATGCTTAGTCAGAAGAAATATTTATGTGTTACCCTGCCTGTATGCTGACTTTTCATCACTTTATTATTGTAGATAGATTTGATTAAACTTTAGCACCCTTGGGTGAATTCAGGCAAACACTTCTTGATCAGTGCATCTGCTGGAGACTATAAAACAAGCTGAGAAGGGCACCACATGATTCATGGTGATTGTCCATGTAATCCATGATGCAATCACAACAGGATAGACTGTACCCCTAGCGAAGGGGGGCTTGAAGGTAATGATGGTACTACCTTCAGGATTAAAAATCCAGCGAAGGGGGGCTTGAAGGTAGATAGTATGATGGTACTACCTTCAGGATTAAAAATAAAGCTCCCTAACCCAAGTTTGAAAATAAGATGAATTTTTTTGTAGTCAAGTTGTTTATTGTGCAAAGATGTATATTTATGTTCTGTCCACATGTCTTCCATCCAATTTATTCTTTTGAAGGAGTACTATATGTTCTGAATAATCAAAGCACTATATTTGTACCTGGGAAACTACGATAATTCTCTCTGTTGCCACTCATTATAATTGTGCCAGGCATATGGTGTGTAGTTGTCTGTTAAGACGTTTGATGGATTTCCCCCATAATGTAATTAGGGATATCTTCTATCCTGTTGCCTAAACTATTTTCTGATAGTTGAATTGTTTTTAAAAGGTAGCAAAAGTATAGCTAACAAAACTAAATAGCTCCTTTCCTTATCTTCTGTTACACGTGGCCAGGATATGAGACATCTGACACTGAAAAGGCACTTGCAGGGGTTTCATGAAAAGTGTGGTTTGGAACCATTTCTGCTTTTTCAATGGAAAGGCTCTATGGAACTTAAGAATTTTGGGCTGCATGCCAAATTATTTGTGTTTTTGACAATAATTGTCATCTTTACTATATCCAGACAAAAAACCTGTGCCTGACTAATGTGTCTGTGCAAACTGTATGGGCTGATCACTCAGAGGGCAGACGTCACATTCATCTCTCTGGGGTCTGTTCCTCAGTTGAGGGCTATGAAGTTTTCCTTTAAAAAACAAAACCTGGTATTTCTAAGTACTACAGGAACCACAAATATGTACAGCTAGAAAAATAATCCAGTTCAGCTTCAGTGTGGAAGTAGAGATCTCTTCACTCAGAACTGCTAATAGAGGCAAAACTACTCAATGAGGCTTCAGTTAACTACCAACTTAAGCTCCAGCTTAAACTTATTTCAAATACTGTGAACATAAAGGCTACCAAGTGCTCCCTTCTGCTCTCAGCCTTCAAGGAGAACTGTGCTTCTTGCCTGAGTTTTTGACTCACATTTGGACTTTGCTGGACCTTTACCTTTCCAGGATGAGAACCATCTTTTGTTTAGTTCTTCCTCCCAGTATGCAAATAGTGTGATTTAACACTAGCAGCAATTCAGAACAACTAGCTAGCACAAGATCTATCCAAATGCTGGCATGGATGTCTTAAGAACATGACTTGAAATAGCTACTCTTTTCCTCCTCTCAAAAACGTTTTTATTTTTAATATTTAGCTTGATGAAGAGTTTTGGTGAGCTCAAAAGCTTGCACAACATTTTGTGTAATTTTGGTTGGCCATAAGGACTTTGGTTTTTGCAGAGGTATGTTGCCATCATATATGCACTGTTTTGGAAGTAAGACCCATTAAACCCAATAGGATTTCTGAGAAAACACATTATGATAGCAAGCTACTAGTCAGCAGAAGGCTGTCAGATAGATGTGGTCAAAATTGCTGTAGGACAAGTTACCCACATGAAAGCATCTATAGATAAATGTAATTAAAATGCTAATTTGGTCTTGGCCTAGAAGATATGGGTAGTTGTCAAATTATAAGGCTATAAATTAACAGTGATAAAAGAGAATACAGCAGTCTTTGCATGAAAGACTAGCAGTATAATCCTAAACAGAATGATACCCGTTTAAGCTTGCTGCCTTCAATAGGCTTAGACAGCTCTAACTCTACTTAGGATTGCACTGTGAGACAGTTAAACACTCCTGGAGTCCTTGGCATGGACACTTATCAGCTAAAGTATGTTAGCATAGCCAAACTCATTTCACATTTTTGGTCATCTTCCAGAAAAAGAAATAAATGCCAGAATTTACCATGGCAACCCAGTTCTGAGGAATGAGCTGTTAAGTGTTTGCTCATTTCTTTCCGATTTCTGTGTGCATACAATAAAGCAACTTGGAAAAACAACATTCTGGCATAGAGCTACATATGAGAAAACAGTGATGAATATTTTGTGTGAAAGTAGATGGAAGCAAGAAAGAATCACTTCTCTTGTTCTTATTTTTTAAAACTTTCCTTTTTTAAAAAAATAACCATACTTACTAGCAGATACATTCAAAGATGTTATGGTTCTTTCTAGCTGATTTTCTGCAGTACATGTTAAAGTAACATTTTCCTCAGGAGCAATTATGATTTTACTGGAAAACTTGCCATTGACATATTTAGTCTCCTCTGTCTGGAAACAAAATTAATCAAGGTTACTGAAAGAACAACAAATCTCTAAAATAATTTAGAAGGTGATCTAAATTAGATATATACCTGGTTTCTCTGTGTGGTTATGGATACATGTATGGTTACACAGTGTGAACGATACATTTACAAGTTTTGGGGCTTAGGTTCCATTGCTCACCATAGATTTTATATTATCTGTCTCTTGCAAGAAATTTGTAAAATTCCTTTGAACAATATTCTTCAGACAAATATATTTTTCTGTCACAATTTTCTTGTTGGATTCTGTCCTTTACTGGTTACTGTTAGTTATTTAGACAATAAATGAAGGCCAGTACCACTCCAATGCAAAACCCAGCTGCATCAAAGGTAGTAAATTAAATAACCAACTTTATCAGAGGGGAGAAATCTTTATAACTAACACTTCTAGGTGATTGCTTTCCAGCTGCAATTGAAAAGTATCATTCAGAAACTAATGAGAAATTTACTTGCTTTATTATTAAGGGTTCCAATGCCAGTGGCTGTCCATTGTACGGCTGGCTTGGGATAACCTTCCACATGACACGATATTGTTTTAAATGTTCCATCTGAGCTGGTTTTCTTTGACATTTTGATCTGAGGTCTTCCTAAGGGGGGAAAATTATCAAAGGAACAAGTTGCACATATATTTTCTAAATTTGTGATCTACTTATTGCCTCGCTACGAAAGATTCAAAATAACTAACAAGTATAAAAGACTTAAAACTAATATTTAAGAGGGGTTTACTTAAATACTCAAATAAGAAGGGCCAATAGATAAATCAAACTGAGGACTACATGAAGTATTAGAACAAAATTAGAGTCCAGTGGGGCACTGCGTGGCAACCCTGGGCTTCCTTGGTGGTCTTTCATCCAAATACTGACCAGAGATGACCCTGCTTAGGTTCTGAGATCTGACGAGACTGGGCTAGCCTGGGCCATCCAGGTGGATGCAAGAGATGAGCAGAGGTGGTTTACTATTTTCCCCCGGGTGAGGTACGGGGGGCGGGGCACATGATGAAGCCCCGCCCCCTGCTTCCGCCCGCCTCGCTTCCAGCCCTCATTCAGCCAGGAGGAGGCAGGAGAAGAGGGAGGGTAAGTTGCTTCCTCCCCGCCTCTCCCCACCCCTGCCTGCCTGGGGCCAGGGAGGGCCTTGGCGGGGCTTCCTCGCACTCCCGCTGGCCTTGCAGGTCCACCGCCGGGCCCCTGATGTCAGGGGGTGTGGCATATGCTAATGAGTTATGCTAATGAGTTCCCCTAGCTCTTTTTCTACGAAATGACCCCTGGTAATAACTATGTTAGAACTGGTGATTGATGTGTCCTAATTTGTGAGAATCCCATCCTTAGACCCCCCCATCCATCTCCATTTCATTGTCTGATCAAGTGTGCATGCACACGAAAGCTCACACCTTGAATAAAACTTTGTTGGTCTTAAAGGTGCCATTAGACTCTAACTTTGTTCTATTGCTTCAGACCAACACGGCTTTATCTATATGAAGTATATACCAGTTCCCTGGAGGCCTGGTCAAATGTATAGCTCTTTACCCTCTCACTAAATATATATGCTGTCAAACACGTGGGGCTGTTCTCAGCAGACATTTCAAAGTTTTGAAAGCAATATGGAAATGATAGTCAGTGACATCACATGATAATCTGCTCACCCTTACCTTCTACTACCAGTGTAAGCGTTTGCCTCTTCTTCAACCCTTCAACTTCCTGTAAGGTAGTTTCGCAGATATAATTTCCTGCATCCTTATACTGTAAATTTGAAAAAGATGGACTTGACCGCATTCTGGTATTGTCCTGATAAAAAGTAGCAAGTGAAAATTAAGTACATTCACAAATTTAAACAGGGTAGCCTATAGGTTTCATAACAAGTTACTTCAGTGACACCAATTGCTTTGCAGCTACCTCCATTTTATATTTTTTAAAGTTACTTTAAATAAACAACCTACTTATTATTAAATTCCAACTGTCCATCTACACAAAAACATAGATGTGTCATACCTTCCTGTACAAAAAATGTTCAGCTATACATGCTTCCCTTGGCTTCTAGTTGTGATGTAGTTTGATCGCCATCATTTAAGGGTTAAGTCTATAGTTTTACTCTTGATTTTATTGTTTTATATTAATGTTGTAACCTGCCCTGAGCCCACTTGCAGAAGGGCAGGTTAGAAATTGAACCAAATAAATAAATACATTTCTACTTGCAAAGAATGTAGAAGATACAAATGCACAACTGCCTCCCAATCCCAGACAATGACAATGACCCATCTGAGTGCACAACAAAGAGCAATTCAAAAGATCTTCAGAGCTCCTGCCATTAACTCCTGCATTACATCAAACCCCTTGCTGTGCAAGGCATGGTCTAGATCAGGACATTGTTATCTTTTTTATAATTCTTTGAGAGGACCAAGGTATAAACCTGAACAGCTGGATTCTTTTTCTACACAAGTCCCTTCAGAGCAACTCCATGCACTATTGGAGCTGTGTATGGATTTAGGATTTGGGACACTTAAGAGTTACTGAAGTATATGGGGGGGAAACGACCTATATCCAAGTACTCCAGTATATACCATATGCCTATGATCACTTCAGTGTCATTAAAAGATATATTGCCTCCACAAATCATTATTCAAATGGATAATATTTTTAAAACTCTATGTATTACATCAGTTATGTTGAACGGTACTGCTGAAAATGATCAATACTTATTTAATCATCTCTATATTTACTGACTTATTTTTCCCCAGATGTAGGACAATAAAAGTTATTTTTTTAAGTGGTTAATTGATTTACATTTTATGACTGTAGAAAAACAGGACAGGATGTTGTGAGATAGCAGCTATTGATGACTTCAGAATTCAAACTGTTAATCATCCTTATTTACAACTTCAGCTTCCCATTCAAAGCTTACATTGTTGTCTCCATACTCACAGAATAGTAAAGGTAGTTCACATTAATTAGTTATGCTTATTCCGCTACGCAGTGTTTTATTATAGAGAGATACAACTGGTCTTTACACAACATTAATTACATTCAACCTGATTCACAAGTGTTATGTAGGAAAGAGCCATCATTGGCTGAGTGTATTTACATGATACTTCAAAGTAATGACTGCTAAAAGGGAGGTTAAAGAAATACTCCTGATTTTATGTTCCTCACAGCTAAAGAGAAGCACACGTCTTTTGTCTTCTGGTAACTGGGTATTAAAGAAAATGAGACTTCACATTGGCATTTGTCCTGTTTCCTCAGCTCTTCCAATCATCTGTACATTCTTTGTTCCTGGCAGTTGCCGGGCAGCAAGCATGTACACCAAGGCTTTGCTGGAAAGAGTTTGGATTTAAAACTGTCTAACAAAATTTTTATTATATTCCCTGAAAAAATATTGTTCTTTTAAAGTCTGAAGAAACATGAAGGATGACCAGACAAGAGACATGAACACATTAATAAGTAACAGCAGCAAAATTATACAATCCTTACCTTTAGCCAAAACAAAGTGGCATTTCTACTAGAAGAAACTGTACAGGATACAGGTAGTGCCTCTCCAATCTGTTTAATAACTGTTCCGCTGGGAATAAGGGACAAATCCAAATCTGTTGAATGGAATTGGAGGAAAGCAGAAACACATCAGAACAAACCCTGCATCTTTATTTAGAAAGAAGAGGTAAATACGTTTGGCTAATTCCAGTTAAAGCTGTTTTTTCTGAGTCCAGTCAATTCCTTTATATAAGAGAACAGAACATATTCTTCAAAAGGCAGCAGCAAAATATCTGAATAGCAACTGAAATTATTGGATAGCACAAAGTGAAGTATTGTACATTTTCTTTGCTGGATCATGTCAAAAACCAAAAGGATTTATTCAAACAAGAAAAAAGACATAGTATGAGAAGTACTGGGGAAAATATAACTTTATAAAAACACTACTGCCACTGCTAACATGCAAAATAAACCAGAGATGATGTTGAGGTTTTTTGGTTTTGTTCTGTTTTGTTAGTAATGGCACAAAATTTGACTATCAAAGATAAAACAAAAGAATAATAGTATATAATGGGCAATGATGAAGAGAATTCTGTTTTAACATATTTCTCTAATATAGGAATTTAGAATGGAAACAAAATGTTTCAGCCCTGACTGTGTTGGCAGAAAGGTGGGGTACAAAAATACTCTAAATAAATAAGGAGCCTTTATAAGTGGCTGCAACCCCTTGCTCATTGAACCTTGCCTGAAAAGAGGAATCCATAATCCTGATGATTCAACATCTTTATAATGATTTGGAGGAAGGAATAGATGGAATGCTTATTAGGGGTAGCAAATACAGTAGAAGATAGAGTCAGGATGCAGGATGATCTTGACAGGCTGGAAAACTGGGCTAAAACAAATAAAATGAATTGCAATGAGATAAATGTAAAGTTCTGCATTTAGGTAGGAAAAATCAAATGCATAATTATAGAATAGGGGAAACTTGCCTTGGCAGTAACAAACAAATGCAGTTCCCTGATGGAAAATAACTATATGGAACTGTTAAAAGAGATCAAGAAAGATTTAGAAAATTGGAAGGACTTTCAACTATCTCTAATGGGGAGAATAGCTACCATTAAAATGAACCTACTTCCAAAACTGAGATTTCTATTCCAAACTATACCAATAATACAAAACCAAAGCTATTTCAAAGAACTAGATAAAATTATAACTTGGTTTATTTGGCAAGGAAAGAAACCAAGAATTAAATTTAAAACACTCCAAGACACTAAGAATAGAGGTGGGTTCGCCATGTCAAACTGGTCTCTACACTATAGAGCAGTAGCGTTGGCTTGGATCAAAGGCTGGATAACTTTGGACAATACTAGACTTCTGAAATTAGAAGGCCAAGATTTGCTCCTAGGATGGCATGCATTCATTTGGTGTGGAAAAGCCGATATCCACAAATATTTCAAACAGCACTGGATTAGAGCTTCCTTATGGAAAGTCTGGGAACAAACCCGAAACTGTTTCTATACTAAGACCCCAAGATGGGTGACTCCCCTGGAAGCTTTTACAAACCCAAATGCTTACCAAGAAGAAACTGCTGTAAGGTACCAAGACCTGTTAGACACTCGGCAAGAACTTAAAACAATACAAAGATGTAACTAGTGGCAAATGGTTCAAATTGAGTCTAGATATAGTAAAGATAAATCAATGGGTTTCTACAACAATCTCTTGGAAATAGATAAGATCTTGATGTATATAGATCAGAAATTTATTTTAAAAATGTATAACCTGCTTTTAGAAAATAAAATGCAAGACAAAATGGTGAAGCGTTTTATGATAAAATGGGCACAAAATCTGGGACATACTATTGATTGGTATCAATGGGCATAAATTTGGGAAAAAATATAAAAATTACAAAAGCAGTTCCATATAAGGAAAATATGTATAAGATGTTCCACAGATGGTACATTACTCCTGATATCCTGTCAAAAATTGACTCAAAATGTTCAAATGTATGCTGGAAATGCCAAAGTAAAGTAGGGGCTTTCTATCATATGTGGTGGCAGTGTGAAAAAGCTAAGAGGTACTGGGCATGGATATATGAAATAGTACTAAAAACCCTTAAAGGTCTCTATACCCTTTGCTCCAGAATTATTTTTGCTGATTATTATGCCTGATCAATGTAATAAAACTGATACCTATTTCATATTATAAGTGATTACCTCAGCTAGAATATTGTTTGCTAAATACTGGAAGAGGGCAGAAATACCACCCAGAAGCGAAATCATCAACAAAATACTGGAAACAGCAGAAACAGATCTATTTGAAAAAACATGGTCAAGTTCCTATACCTGGATTGAAAACTACGATATGTCAAAAAATACAATTAATTAGAAACTTGAGGAAATATATTTATAAAGCTATACAAACCTGTAAAAAAGAGATGTTACAGTGACGACACGGTTTATTGGCAAGTAAAGAATAATGTAAAGAAGGCAAAGTTAATTTTTAATGTATCGATATAAACTCCCCCCCCCATCTATTTGTCTGTATTTATGTCTGTATGTCTTATGTTGAAAATAAAGAAATAGAAGAAGAAGAAGAAGAGTTGGATTTATACCACATCCTTCACTCGGAGTCTCAGAGTGGCTTACAATCTCTGTCCCTTCCTCTCCGCGCAACAGACCCCTGTAAGGTGGGTGGGGCTGAGAGAGTTCAGGGAGAACTGTGACTGACCCAAGGTCATTCAGCTGGCTTCATGTGGAGGAGTGAGGAATCAAACCCAGTTTTCCAGATTAGAGTCCACCACTCTTAACCACTACACCAAACTGGCTCTCAGTTTTGACAGACCAAAATTCTTTACTTGCTCAAAATCTTTGGTACTACAGTACTAAATCTTCAGTACTATATTACTTAAGCCTGTGAATTCCACACCTTAATTGAAAGTAGCATAGCTTGATTTCCTGAACAGCTCCATTTGGAACAAGACTGCAGTTCCCTTGGCTCTGGACACTTTTCAGTCTGGCTTTAGGCCAGGCTATGAGACAGAAAATTATCTAGTGGAGCAGACAGCAGACCTGGCTTGTGTGACTGAGACCTGGGTGAGGGAGGGTGAAACGGTTGCCTTGAGTCAACTAGCCCCACCAGATTTCTTAATCCTTCACCAGTCCCAGACTAATGTGTGGCGGAGGGGGAGTGGTGCTACTAATCTGGGAGGCTTTCTCCTTCAGACCACTCCCTGAGGCAAAGATAGCTGGCACTGACTGTGTGGGCATAGAGTGGGAGGCCGAGGAAAGTTTGGCCATTTGGCTGGTGTACCGACCACCTAATGCACCAGCAAATGCCAGGCCAGGCCTGTTGGACGCTGTATCTAGCTGGGCCTTGAAGTACCCCAGACTTTTGGTCTTGGGTGTCTTCAACATGCATGCAGATGATGTGACCTCCTCTTAGGTCATGGACCTAGTGTCATCCATGGCGGCAGTGGGACTCTCCCAGTTTGTTTTGACCCCCCCACACACACCAAACAGGCCACACGCTGGACTTGATCTTTGCCTCAGGGACCGGATTACTGCAAATGCAGTACCATGTTCGGACCATCTGGCTTTGGAGGCTCAGCTGGGTATCCCTAACCCTCCCTGTTTAGGCGGCAAGCAAATTTATTGCCTGTAGAGCCAAATGAACCTCAGCAGGTTCCAGGAAGCCCTGTGGGATCCAATTCCCCCTGGTAGCCCGTTGGATGTGCTGTTGGAAGACTAGCAATCCTGTCTTTTTGAAGCCATCAACGAGGTTGCTCCCAAGTGTCCTCTTTGTGCTCGTACCAAATTAGCTCTGTGGTATACCCTGGAGCTTTGGCGGATCAAATGAGAGCTAAGACGACTAGAGAGAGGGTGGCAGCGAGTTTGTGATGATGCTACAAGAGCATCCTATAGGTTGTTCATGAGAACCTATGAGATGGCAGTGAAGGCCACAAAGAGACACTTCTACAGATAACAGGAAGTACTTCTTCACCCAAAGAGTGATTAACACATGGAATTCACTGCCACAGGAGGTGGAGGCGGCTACAAGCATGGAAAACTTCAAGAGGGAATTAGATAAGCATATGGAGCAGAGGTCCATCAGTGGCTACTAGCCACAAGGTATAGATAGGAACTCACAGGCTGGGGCAATGTACTGTATTCTTGGTGCTTGGGAGGCAACAGTGGGAGGGCTTCTAGTGTCCTGGTCCCACTGCTGGACCTCCTGATGGCACCTGGTATTTTTGGCCACTGTGTGACAGAGTGTTGGACTAGCTGGGCCATTGGCCTGATCCAACATTGGCTTCTCTTATGTTCTTATGTATGCGAGCTCCATTGCATCTGACCGCTCTCCCAGGACAATGTTGAGAAGACCCTGGCAGCTGTGAAGCCTACCACATGCCTCCTAGATCCCTTGCGGCGATGAGGTGCAGACCCCCCTGTGGAAGATTATCAATCTGTCCCTTCTATTGGAGACCTTCCCAGGGCGACTGAATGAGGCAGTCGTCCAAACTCTCCTCAAGAAACCATCGCTGGACCCTACATTCCTTAACAACTACTTTCCAGTGTCTAACCTACTGGTCATGGATAAGGTAGTAGAGATGGCAGTGGCAACACAGCTCCAGATCTTCTTGGATGAAGCTAAAGTCCTGGATCCCTTCCAGTCTGGTTTTTGCCCTACCCACGGGATGGAGACAGTGCTGGTTGCCCTGGTAGATGATCTCTGAAGACATCTGGATTGAGGTGGATCAGTGCTGATGATACTTCTTGATCTGTCAGCAGCATTTGATATGGTTGACCATGATGTGTTAACCCACTGCCTTGTTGATGTGGGGGAAAGGGGGCTTGTATTGCAGTGGCTGACCTCCTTCCTCCAACGTCAGGGACAGAGGGTGGCACTTGGGGGAGAGTTATCCTAACGACACCCACTGGAATGTGGTGTGCCACAAGGAGCAATTCTCTCCCCCATGCTCTTTAACATCTATACGCGCCCCCTCACCCAGATTATCTGGAGATATGGGCTGGGATGTCACCAGTATGCGGATGACACCCAGCTCTACCTACTGATGGACAACCACCCAGTCATGGCCCAGGTGATCTGGACAGGGAACTACAGGCTGTGGCTGGATGGTTACGACAGAGCCGACTGAAGTTAAATCCATCTAAGATGGAGGTCCTGCACCTGAGTCGTGGGAGATTGAGTCAGGGAATCAGGCTCCCAACCTTGGATGGGGCTCCATAGGTGCCAATGTCAAGGGTGAAGAGTCTGGGGGTGTTTCTGGATGCCTCCCTCTCTATGGAGGCTCAGGTCACTGCCACTGCCAGATCTGCCTTTTTCCACCTGAGACAGATCAGGCAGTTGGCCCCTTATCTCACCCCCCCATGATTTGGCTACAGTGACCCATGCAATGGTCACTTCCAGATTGGATTATTGTAACTCTCTCTACGTGGGGCTACCCTTGATTCAGCTCTGGAAGTTGTAGCTGGTGCAGAATGGGTATTGATGGTGATGCCTGTGTGGGCTCAGATCCACCCAGTGCTGCATGAACTGCACTGGCTGCCCATCGAATACCGGATCCATTTCAAGGTGTTGGTGCTTACCTTTAAAGCCCTATATGGTCAGGGGCCAGCATACCTTCGAGACTGCCTTTCCCGATATGAGCCCCATAGAGCACTGAGGTCTATCAACCAACATCTTTTGGTAGTCCCCGGCCCCAGGGACATCTGGCTTGCCTCAACTATAGCCAGGGCCTTTTTGACCTTGGCCCCCACCCGGTAGAATGAGCTCCTGTATGAGATCAGGGCCCTGAGGGATTTATTACAATTCCACAGTGCCTGCAAGATGGAGCTCTTCCACCAGGCTTTTGATTGAGGCCGTGGACATCCCTTTCTCTCCCCCCCCCCCGGTGGCCTGGACCTGAATAGTCATAGGAGACTACCTACACTTGAGACATCTAGTTAAACTATACACTGCACTTTATGAAAATGTTGTTATACTGTTTTAATCTGTTTTAGTTGTTTTTAACTGTATTGTGTACTGTACTTAGATGGTTTTATGTTGTTTTATGAAGCCAAATGGCCTTGTTAAGCTGCCCTGAGCCTGCTTTGGCAGGGAGGGTGGGTTACAAATTAAATAAAGTGGTTCACCCTTGAAGGCTCATGGATCCAAATGGATTCCAAAACACTCCGGGGGACTGATTCAGTTACTGTGATGTACCATGCTGTTGACAAGATCCTGGGATCTGTGAAAGCTACCACTTGTTCTTTAGTTCCTTGTCCACCCTGGGTGGATGTTGAAATCGTTTAAGGACCACATAAATGAGTCACTGATGACTATCATAAATCAATCACAGTCTCATGACACCTTCCCCCAGCTACTCAAGGAGGCCATCATTCCATCCCCTCATTTACAAAAATATTCACTATATCTACAGAATAATTTTGTGGCCAATTATCATGGAGTGCACTTAAAAAAACAGGTTCTTAGTGCAGCAGAATCAGAGATATCATAAAAGTCAGACAGGTTCACCTTAGAGTGAAAGAAAAAGACTCCTTTGCCTTAACTGTAGTGTTCCTATCAGAATTCAGAGACTAAGGGGAATATCAGACAGCCGATATATTCCAGTTCAGGAACTGTTCCCTAACGGTTTCTGGTCTGACATTTCAGACAGAACCATTTTAGTAACAGTTCCCTACCGGAATATATTTTCATTTTCATACAGAAATGCTTTTGTCCCATTCAGAAAACATGGCTGAACCGTTTTACCTGCAAACTGTTTCCAAGCAGTCTCCACTTTTCTATACCGTTTCTGAAGCGCTACGGGTGCTGTGTAAAATGCCCCGTACTGCTTCCTCCTGCGCCACTTTGTTTTCCTGCCCTTTTTTACCTGCGTGGGTGATCTCCGTTATTTTTTTTTAACGTTTATTTTAGAGTGCTACGATGTTATAGCACTATAACATAACACCAAAAGAGCAACCCCATAGGAATGCCTGGACTCCACTGGGATACATGAGATGGCTACATCTGCCACCTGGAAACAAGTACCTCATTGGACTGCAGGCTTTGGCAGGAAATCAGGGCATCAGTGATTGGTGTGCTAACCCTTCTATGCCCACTGTGAGTCCTTGCATTGTGGGGGGATGACAGAATCCAGGAAGCTCTGCATTCAACACAAAGAAATTATGCTTATTTCCAAGGCAGACCTTCATGTTGAAGAGCTCCTCCAGAATCACCTCCTTCACAATAAGGAATGCAGTTGACAGGCCCACACCAAACTGATGTCTGAGTTCCCTGAATACTTTTTGTTTGGCCAGGTACCATAGGGTGATGGCCAGTCTTTTATACACTGGAATGGATATCCTAATGTGAGTGTTCTGCCACTCCAGACGGTGCCTCAGGGAACCAGCTAGTTCAAAAAAGGTTGCCCTAGACATCTGGAAATTCTTCAGCCAGTCTTTATTGATCCATGTGCCCATCACAGTGTTGTTCCACCAGTCCTCACTCCTCTCTTTTACCCACCAACATCGAGGGACTCTATGGGCAGCAATGACAGGTGCCAATGCCCTGATAGATGCCCTCCAATTGTACCTGGTGGGTGCATGACTCAAGACAGGCATGTCAGTTCTCCTCCTCCTAGAGAGATGAAGGAAGTGCGTAAGCACCTCACTTAAAGCTGCTGTGCTGCTGATCATCATCTGCAACACCTCCAGGATCAGTTGCAACAAGGTAGTTATGGAGACCATGACTAATAGATCAGTAGCCTCTCACACAATCACACAAAACTACTCTAACCAGACAATCCTACCACTCACCAACTTCAGCCCACAAAGATAAGGGGTTTGCCTTCCTGCCCTTTATACCTGATCCAGTTCTGTGCCATTCACTTCCCAGCCAATCGCCTCTTGGTATGGATGGATGCACATCAGGCTGGGTCAGCAACATCTGTCTCACCAATCACTGATGCCCTGATCTCCCGCCTAAACCTGCTGTCCAATGAGCATTTTCTCCCCAGCTGGCAACCTGACAACCAATCACCTTCCCCTGACTCACAGTGGGCATGGAAGGGTTAGCAACATCTGTTACACCTGCTGTCCAATGAGGTACTTGTTTCCAGGTGGCAGATGTAGCCATCTCATGTATCCCAGTGGAATCCAGGCATTCCAATGGGGTTGCTCTTTTGGTGTTATGTTATAGCACTATAGCACCATAGCACTCTAAAATGAACATTCAAAAAAAAAAAAAAAAAAAAGGACAGAGATACCGAACTATCTAGCAGCCGTGCACTGAAAAAGAAAAATTAAAAAAAAAAAAAAAAAGGACAGAGATCACCCACGCGGGCAAAAGAGAGCGGGAAAACAAAGTGGCGCACTCTGAAATGCCAAACCACTTCAGAGACGGCTCCTTACCAGTAGGGGAAAGGCTGCGTGAAATGGCAGCCCTGTACCGGTTCACTCCAAGCCAGTACAATAACAACTTAAAAACGGCTTAAAAGGGTAATGCGAAATTCCCCTAAATGTCAGCCTAAGCTGAAATACACTTTACATAGATATCAGAACTGGGATGGTTATTTGGCAAGAGTGATTGGGTAGTGTGCTGAAACTCCCTTTCAAGCCAAAAGGAACAGGGTTATATCTTCTGCAGAGAAAAAGATTAATTCCTGCCCTATTTCTCTGGGTGTTTAGCTCTGAGGAGGACCTTGGGTCTGATATGAAGAGGAAACAGTTTTAGATAACTCAGGAGACAGAAATAAACTGTAGTTTCAAGAAAGGAGTGAGTTACGTGCTCAAAGAAAGAGACCCACTCCAGGAAAACTGCACTATCATTGGAAACTCTGAAGAAACATTGTTGCTGTGACTAAAATACTAAGTAAAACATCTCTCCCTGTTAAGAGCCTAGAATATATGCTGTATATTGCTTCTATATTCACATGCCTTCTCCTGCAATGTCTTTTGATAACATGCTGTGTCTTGTTTCCTGTTGCAAGCCAAATGGTGAGGTCAAATGGCCTCAATAGCCACGCCATAAACCCACATTCTTTCACACTTTCATGCCAAAAGCCAGACCTCATGGCTACACTTTCTGGTCCGCATGCGACAAGTCACATACTCAATGAAGTAGCTGGAGTTTGGGGTCAGCTGACTGCAGGCGGGGTCTCCAAACTCCTGGCCAATCTATACACAGCTATGGCAACCAGAAATTGGCCACACACCCCTGCTACTCTGATTGGCCAAAGGCCACGGCTAGTCATGATTAGCTTGGGGTATAATTGTTTGATCCCTATGGGAGTGAGTTCTCTTGCTCTCTCCCCTGTCATTGTCTGTTTTATTGCACCTGAAATGCTGTCTCTTGGAACACAAGGACCTGCTTTGTGAACTGGAGCACATGGTTGTGCAAAGATGGGATTTCTCCTCAAAATCCCTTGGTACTTGGACTATTTTGGACGGATACTCCTGACTTGGTAACTATGAATCATTAATGTTTAGTTAAGGCAAACAGCCCTAGCCTTTGTTATTTTTGTAATCTCTGGTAGTCTATGCTAAGCTCCGTACTGAATAAAGATCCTTCTTATTTCTAATTGTCTCTGGTGTTGTAACTGAATTCCAAGTCTAAGTCTATGCTACCATTGGAGGGTAAAAAGCATGCATCTCTGGAGTTGCTAATGTGTTAAGTCCCAGATGCTAACTAAGGGCTGGAATCTCTCCCTTAGGAAAGGCAGGGACTAGTGAAAAGAGGTTCTGGTGGCAAATTGTCTGGAAACCAGAGAGACTATAGACCATCTCGTGGTTTGTTTAATGTATTGAAAAGTACAGGATTCCCTCTCATCATGCCTGGACTGGCCTGTGCGGGCTAATCCTGTACATATGCCAACAAGCTTCAAGATCATTATTTTGCCTGTTAAAAGAAGTGTACTTTGGAATATCAACAGGTTTTACCACAGCTTTTCCAATCCCTGACTACACCTATTCATCCCTTGCCTGTTCAATAAACTTAAGATTTCTGTTAGAATGTTATTCTGTCTCAAGTGCCATTTCAAACGGTAAAACAAGAGGACTCCTCTTTTCCCCATCAAGTTCCCCGACAGGGTTAAAAGCCAAATTATATTCTCTGTGACAGGGTGGAACAAACAGACTACCAAAACCACAAATATTAACACACTACTTGGGGCTGCTCTGTCATAGTAGGGAACAAAACTTTTGGTGGGAAAACCTGCCTGATAGTGGTGGAGTGACAGGGGTCCTTCATACCCTACCTCTAATATGCTGTTTCTGGGCAACATAACTGAAAGCAGTGGCAGACTAACTCATGCCTTCTTGGATAAATAGCATGCTCTGGATCCTTTTCAGTCTGGCTTTAGACCAGGCTATGAGACAGAGACAGTGCTGGTTGCTTTAGCTGATGTAGACTGAGCTGAATGTAGACAAAGGTCATGTCTCTTTTTCCTTCTACTGGATTTATCTGCTGCCTTTGATACAGTACACAACTCCATCTTTTTGAAACATTTGGAAACAGAAGGAGGTGGCAGAATTGTGCTTTAGACTGGTTAAAGATTTGTCCTGTGTGAACCCTAACAAGATGGAGATAATGTCTGTTGGGAAGACTGAGGTCTTGAAGGACATTATGCTTCCTACCGTCGATGGGGTTCACCTGACCCTTGTTGATTAGATCATGAAACTAGGTGTTACAAGCCAGACGACCCGTGAAACTTGCGGGGGGGCGGAGCGGGGGGGCGGAGCTCTGCATTTAGCTGGCGGAGGAGTCAGGAGCAGGTAACGTTCCCTCCATCCCGCCGGTTCATCCGTATCGCCCCCCCCACTCGATCTCCCCCCACCTGCCTCCTCACCCGGCTGGAAAGCGAGGCCCGCACGGCTTGGAGCCGCTGGGCCTCGGCGCTTCCCCCGCCCCCCGGCTGGAAGGCGAGGCCTGCACGGCTTGGGCCTCTGGCTGGAGAGCGAGGCCCGCGCGACTCATAGCCGCCAGGCCTCGGCGCTTCCTCCCCGGCCCCCGGCTGGAGAGCGAGGCCTGCGTGGCTTGTAGCCGCCGGGCCTCGGCGCTTCCCCCCTCTCCCCTGCAAAGCGGCTGTGAGGCGGCGGCGAGGGCACCGGCAGAGCGTTCCCTGCACATGCGCAGGGGATGCTCTGTCAGTTTCGGGGGGATTTAAGTATCCCCCGATTTTGTTTTGAAGTTTTCGGATTTTTGTGCAGACGTGGGGACCTCCCCACGTGCGCACAAACATCTCCCTCCCCCCCAGGTGCCCCCGGTGTGCGGATTTAAGCATCCACACACAGGGGGCACACTTGAGAATTAGATATATAGATATTGGACACAGCATGACCACTGGAGAAGCAAATTAATGCAGTCACAATAGTACTTTCTTCCAACCTTGTTTAGCTTGGAAGACTGCCCCCTACCTTGAGTTGGCTGATGAGACCACCTGGATCTACACCACAGTAATATTGAGACTGGACTACTGTCATGTGCTTTATATAGATCTCGCCTCAAAATCAACTTGAAAACTTCAGTTAGTGCAAAATGTTGCAGCTTGTTTATTATCAGGAATTAGGTGATGCCCTGACCTGGATAGCCCAGGCTAGCCCAATCTAGTCAGATATTGGAAGCTAAGCAGGGTTGGCCCTGGCCAGTGTTTGGATGGGAGACCACCAAGGAATACCAGGGTTGCTATGCAGAGACAGGCAGGCAAACCACCTCTGAACATCACTTGCCTTAAAATGCTACAGGGTCACTGTAAGCTGGCTGCAACTTAGCAGGGGGGAAAAGTCAGTGCATGCAAATTATACCCATTCTGCACATTAGTTAATGGTTCAACTCTAGGTACTGACCATCACATAAAAAGCTCTTCATGACCTTGGACCACCTCTCCTCCTATGCTCCAACATGACAGTTTTTCTCATATGACCAGTGCCTTCTACTGGTGCCACTCTGCAAATGGGAAATAATAACTACCCACACATAAGAATTCTCTGTAGTTGCTCCTACTTTATGGAAAGACTCTCACAGTTTCAGCTTCCTACAAACTATGTACAACAAAACAGTTCAGGAAGGCATTTTTGTAAAGGAATAGGGCTAGGTTATAACGGAATGGTTCAGGAAGATGTTCCAATATAGAGAACAAAACTGTGGATCATGCTACTAATATGTATCATCTGTTGACGTATGTTTTTGCCTTCTTCTCAGTGCACGGTGTTTCTATTTATGCAGTACCGCTTCTTGCATTGTTTAACATGTCAGGTTTAAAACTTTGCCTGGTTTCAGTTTTCTGTAATTGTAGTCCTATTACATTGTTAGATGTCTTCTTATTCTATTGATTGTAGTGATTTATGTAATCTGCCTAGAGCCTCAGCAACTAAGGCAGACTATAAATAAAAAAAGTTTGGGTCCAGGTGCCACTGGATTCAAAGTTTGTTCTATTGCTTCAGGCTACTCACCTGAGTATATTAAAAAGTACAACAGCAAAGAGTGCATGCAAAGTTTTATGTGAATAATCAATATTACTTAGTAATATCTGTGGAAAACTAATACAGGCTTAATTTCTCTGTTATCAGTGGCCATAGTAACACTTTCTTTATCTACCTTTGTAGCTGCATATTTAGCAGACCACAAGTGTATAAAACATTCTAGCAGGAGACAGCAAGGGACACGACTGCCTGTCAAACACCATTAAGTTTCTTCCCCTTCAATACATTCCCCAAATCAGGAGGTCTAAATCACAAGGTAAAAAGCTTTA